TTGTTGTTTTATATAAAATGTGAAGATTATCACGAATATTTTCTTTCTGTTCAGTAAGTAAAATAGTAATTATTACAATATTCTAATGTATCTTTCTCACACCTGAACAGAGATGCGGTCATGATGACTATTGTCCCTACAACGAAAAATGCTGCTATGACGCCTGTCTGAAGCACCACACCTGCAAGGGTCCTCTTCCCCATTAACTCCTTGCACAAGATCACACCGAATGTTCCACCCGCTGCCTTCTCGGCGTCACACCTAAAACAATTATCATGTAAACAACGCCAATACGAGCATTCAGCAGCCAGCCGTTCCTCCCCACCCAGTAATGCAGTTGTCTCAAAATGGAACTTGTAACTGGAACGTGATCCACTTGAGTACCACCAAATGTTACACTTGTGTTATATGAACTGTGTATTATTATTGCTGTTATTATGTTCTTCAGGTTTGTTGCATATGCTTTATGTTCATTAGAGAGCAGTGTTTCTTACAATGAAGTTGTTGTCATCAATTACAAGGTTTTACAATAAAGTTGTCGTCCGTTCAAAAGTTTTAATTCCACGAACACCTACTATGAGCGGCATTGTATAAACCCAATGTTAAGGGTGGGAGTTGTGGACCAGTTGAGAGGGTAACAAAAAAGCACGACTGGTTTGTGTCCAGTCTTGTGTCCAGATATGTGTCCAGGCTGTGGATTAATACCTTGCCAGGACACACTACTCCATCTAATGCATTCAATTTTTCAATTTCAATTGTTTATTCCTTGATAGAGGAAGCGGGATCCTAGTACTGTACTGTCACTAGGTACCCCTGTACAATAACACAGAAGCATCTGGCAAGTGTGGCAAGTATATACAGTATAAATATTATAAAGGGGCTTTCTAAAGCCTAAGGAAGGAAGGATGTTCCTTTAACACATAATCTATGTTATTTACATAATATCTGGCCAGTAAGGGGAGGATCATCGTGTCTCCGTCAGGGTGTCGTGGAGTGGTGGTCTAGCAGGCGTCACGGAAGCGTTGTGTGTGGGGACATCTTAGGAGGTAGTGAATAAGGGTGCGGCTGTCGGGTCTTCTGCATAATGCACAAGAGCGTTGCTCAGGGGATGCGGGGATACCAATCTCCCAAGCAAAGTCATACCCAATGATGATACGGGCAGCAATCACGTCCCCATTCCGCGACCCTTTCCCATAGAGATACCAGAGGTCAGGAAGTTTACGGAGGACATCGTACCAGGTGGGCGGGGAGTCCAGGGGGATGGCTGCTTCCCGAGCTCCTCTCTGTTTGCGGCGAATTTGGGTCCTAAGCTGTAAAAGTGTTCGAGGAACAACGTAGTCAGGTGTGGCCTTGTTGCAGCCAGTCATGGCAAGGCCATCTGCTGCCTCATTCCCCAAGATACCGACATGACTGGGTATCCATAGGAATGTCACAGGACGGCCTGCATCCTGAAGTGTGGATGTTAACCCTCGTATTCGGAGGATGAAGCCCTTATTTTCCCCTGATCCAAGTGCGATCCTGTCGAGAGCAGACCTGGAACTGCAGCAGACAAGGAAGGGGCAGAAACCATCTGCTTCTTCCTCAGAGAGAAGGGCAGCAAGGAGGGCTATTAGTTCAGCCTGAGTGAAGGATGCCCCGTCAGAAACTCTGAGAGACAGTTTGATAGGCTCAGGGGCATCAGGACGGGAAATGTAGACACCAGCCCCGGCCCGACCTGTAGCGGGGTCAACAGAACCATCAGTGTAGAGGACGACCCTACCTGGGGACAAGGTGGGCGATCCTGGAGAGGTGGTATTTGCAGAGAATAACAGGGTTCACATGGGATTTCGGGAGCGGTCCACCGAGGGCAATCACTTCAGGTTGAAAATCCAGCCAGGGAGAAAGAGACGAACCAATCGCAGGGGTGACAATATCAGGCAGGAGGTCGTGTTCCTGAAGGGCTCGGATAAGTGACCCTCGCCACTGCCTTCTAGATGGAGGTCGGCCTCGGACATAGTTGCCCCGAGGATCCCGTAGAATGGAAACGGTAGTTTTTAGGTAAAACTCCTGGACACGATCTTGTAAGGGGGAAAGACCAAGTTCGGTATATAGAGAAGTGGAGCGTGTCCACTGAGGAGCCCCAAGGATGATACGAGCAGCTTTCCTCTGGATAACTTCGAGACAGTTGACAGCAATCCGACTAATGTTGACGAGGGCAGGGGCGGCGTAGTCGACACAGGAATGGACAAAGGACTTGTACATGGTGAGAACTACAGGGATGGTGGCACCAAGGGAACCCCTGCACATGGTAGAGAGGGGAGCGAGACGCCGAAAGCATATGTCTCGAAGATAGCGGACTTCAGGGATCTGATAACGTGTGCGAGTTACATACACACCCAGGTATTTTGTCTCATTAACCTAGTCCAAGGGCGTTCCTGATAAGAGAAGGGGTGGAGGTACAACACGACCGTGTCATATGGCTTTTGTTTTAGCAGTTGAATGAAGGAAACCAAGTGAATCACACTCTCTGGAGACCAGATTAAGGGCTTCCTGCATGCTGAGGTAGTCAGGGGCTTGGAGGAGGACATCGTCGGCATATCCTGAGTGGTCAACTTCTGTCGGCCACGGGAGAGATGCAATGGAGTGTATGAGACTGCTAAACAAGGTGGGACTCAGGACTCCACCTTGAGGGGTGCCGAGGTTCATTTCTTGAACAGGAGATATAGAGCCTTCAACGCGAACCCGGGTCTGACGTCCAGTGAGGTAAGAGGCGATCCATTGAAGAAGTCACCCTTTAACCTCTAACCGCGCAAGTTCAGCTAAAATGAGGGCAGGCTGAGCAATGGAGTGTGCTGTGCTGCGATGTTGTATGAAACCATTGAGGGAGTTGTGGAAGCCGCCTATGGTGTGAAGAAGTCGACGATGGAGTATCCTCTCCATCATCTTGCAAACACAGGAGGTAAGACTAATGGGTCGATATTTCCCAGGATCTCCCGGCTTCGGGATGGGGATAATAGTGGCATTTTTCCAGTTAGACGGGAGAACCCCATGTTCATAAGACATATTGTAGAGAGCAAGCAAGGGGTCGTTAGGAATATTAATACAGGCGTTGAGGACGGAGTAGGTTATCTGATTATCCCCAGGAGAGGTGTCTTTTCTGGAGCGACGAGCACTGTCAAGCTCGAACTGTGTGATGGGATGATCAGTGGGGGCAGGGGAGGTAAGAGCAGCACGAACAACAGGCTCAGACACATCGATGCGAGCCTGTACTGCCTCCTGCATTGGATCTGGAAGTGCCTCAGGTGAGAAAGCTCGTGCCCAGTCCTCCATTAAAGAGCAGGCAAGGGAGGCGGGGTCAGGGTGGGGAGGAGGCCTCCGTCGAGTACCCCGTATAGCATTAATCCGATTCCATACATAAGAAGGTGACGACTGGAACGATAGAGACCCAGTGGAGGATAGCCAGTCCGCCTCACGAATCCGACGACGCTCCTGAGTTGCAAACGAGCACCAATTTTTGAAGTCTTCCCAGTCCTCTGGAGAGCGAGACCTCTGTATGGCAGAGTGGAAATCACGGGTTACCTGCCGGAGATGTCTCATGGCAGGGATACGATACCAGTAGTTGATGGCACTTCTGGGGTGATGGGGAGGGCTTGGAGGGGTAGCGCGATTGACAGAGTCATACACGGCATCAACAGAATTAGCGCTGTAAGAGTCAAGGGACTGGGGGACAAAATAGGAATCCGCCCAAGTAGAAAGGTATTGGGTAAAGGAAGGAACAGCATCTTGTGTGAGACGAAGGCGAGGGGATCGATAAGGAGCTGATGTCGGGGCAGAGAAGGAGAGCCCGAGATGGGTAGTAACGGCAAGATCGTCACTATACATAGCAGGCTCGGTGCAGACGGTAGGATGAAAGGAGGTATGACCGTTCAATAGTAAGCCAACATCAAGGAAACTATGGGGGAGGCGAGTAGGACCGTCAGGATAAAGAAAGCGAACATCATCATCCCCATTAAGAAACTGTGAGAGATGTGATCCGTTAAGGGTACATGGCGTGGGATGATCCGGAGTAAGAGTGGGATGGCGGGCATTAAAGTCGCCAAGAAGAAGAGTGGGAACCCCATCATGGAGGTCGTGAAGAACCTGGGGGTCCAGAGAATCACTCTTGAAATGAACATTGACTACACGAAGGGTCCGGTCACCAAGAGTAAGGGAGACAGAAAGTAATTCAGACGGGGGTCCATGTGAGTCAGGTGAAGGGAGACGAACAGATGGAATGGTGTTACGCACAAGGGTGAGGAGGCCACGAGCCTGCCCACGGTACCGAGACAGGGTGTAAACAGTGTAGCCACAGAGGTGGAGTCGAGTAACATCGTCTGTGATGGTTTCCTGAAGTAGAGCAACTTCTACTTGATGGGAGAGCACACACTGGGCGAGGTCTGTCCGGCGAGGTCTAAGTCACTGAATGTTCCATTGTAAGAAGAGGAGGGAACGGCCTCCGGTGTGAGATGAAAGGCCCATACAGACCACATTCACCACCTACTCCGGGTCATCACACGATATCCACCACCCAGATAGCTTAGAAAGCATCCTCTCCCAGCAAGTGCGGACTCCAGTTCGGGGGGCGCGCCACTCCGAAGCTGACCACGTCCAAGAGTGGGGGCTGGTGGTAAGCGTCCACTGATCGGGGGTCCGCTCACACTTGCAACCTACAGTATCCCTCCAATCTGCAGGTGGGACCACCTCCAATCCCAATCCGGTCTGGCTGCTCCTGGAGCTCCAGCCGGAACCACCAAACGGGCCGCCTATAGGCAAAGGCCCGTGTCGGACTACGGTCCGACAATCTATACAACAACAACAACAACCCAGGGAGTCACACTTGGCCTGACAACCTCGTCGTCTGCACTGCTCCTCCAACGCCTCCTGCCATCCACAATGGTCAGTGACAACATGACGTTTGTCATTTGTTTTGTTGTACTTGTGTCCTGTATATTTAGTTTTAATGTATATTTCGTGTACTGTGATGGTACTTGAGTTAATGTAAGGTGTACCCACAGCTGCGCCTGTTGGTAGTGATGACCGTCGTGACGGTGGGTCTTGGCTCTAGCATCCTTCCTGTCACTCCCAGCTGTGTCTTCTGGTGCAATTTCCCAGCCGCTGTCAACGCTGGTGCCAGTTACTGCTGCATTAATTCAAACCATAGAATTGTCGAAAATACAAGTCGAGGTCAGTGTTAACTAATGGTTATTATGCATTGGTACATGTTAATATATAACTTGATGAATAACATATTTTTTTTTTTAATATACTTATTTAGAGAAGAGATTAATAACTTTTCATTTTCTTTCTTTAGAACCCCATGCAGGTAGATGTGTAATCCATACCTTCTGTGCCAGAGGCGACTTTACACCGCCTGCCCCTATCGTAAGTTTACTATTACTTTTGCTTCATTATTTTTTAAACTTTTCTATAATTCACTAATTATATTAAGGTGGGGTAATCGAAGTTTTCTTAATAATAAACCCCAAAAGGCGCCAAATTTCTTTGTACAAAAAAGAACCAATTAAACTAAGTTGTCTTGTTGTTTTATATAAAATGTGAAGATTATCACGAATATTTTCTTTCTGTTCAGTAAGTAAAATAGTAATTATTACAATATTCTAATGTATCTTTCTCACACGTAAACAGAGATGCGGTCATGATGACTATTGTCCCTACCACGAAAAATGCTGCTATGACGCCTGTCTGAAGCACCACACCTGCAAGGCTCCAATTTTCCATTAACTCCTTGCACAAGATCAGTGTTCCACCCGCTGCCCATCTCGACGTCACACCTAAAACAATTATTATATAAACAACGCCAATACGAGCACTCAGCAGCCAGACGTTCCACCCCACCCAGTAATGCAGTTCTCAAGAAAGTTCTTTTGGGGCAGATGGTCGAGGCAAGACGGAAGGAACACTTTAGTTGTCTCAAAATGGGACTTGTAACTGGAACGTGATCCACTGGAGTACCACCAAATGTTACACTTGTGTTATATAAACTGTGTATTATTATTGCTGTTATTATGTATTGGTGTTGTTCTTCAAGTTTGTTATATTTGCTGTTCATTAGAGGAGTTTATCTTGCAATAAAGTTGTTGCCTTCAGTTGAAAAGTTTCAATTCCACGAACACATATTATGAGCGGCATTGTATCATGAAATAAATGTTATGGCTGGTAGTTGTAGATCAGCTGATAAGGTATCAACGAAACCTGTCTGGTTTTGCCCAGGCATGTATCCAGACATATGTCCAGGTTTATGTCCAGGCTGGGGAATAATACCTTGCCATGACACACTACTCCCTAAAACATTTAACAGGTGCAACAACCATAACGCTACGGGTTCCTCCTTCAGTTTTACGGCAATGTTGTGGCATTGATAAATTAACTGATCGACTAGTACACCTGGGACGTTTTTACCTGTACGTATTGATCCATTGTCTGTGTGTCACCAAGCATGATTACATTTACTCACTTCTAATCAAAGATAAGAAAGATCTCTGTAATAGTCACTATATATCTCGATATCTATATATTTGTAATAGCTTCCGGACACAGTCGGCTGTTTCTCACCTAACATACGTTTATAACACCTCGAGCCTGAACCTGTCATCACATCACCTGTATAGTATTTCCAGAAATAATAACTGTTGGATCAAGTCCTAAAATCAACCTTAATACATTTGTAACAATTGTAAGGAATAATAACAATACTAAGTTAACGGGAAGTGTCCAATAAACACAAATGACTATCAGTGTCCTAACCGGGAGGTTAAGCAGTGAAGTAACCACATGTGTCCTATAGCTATATATAACTGATCCTCCCTCATGCTAGTGGCCCACATAACTGATCCTCCCTCATGCTAGTGGCCCACATAACTGATCCTCCCTCATGCTAGTGGCCCACATAACTGATCCTCCCTCATGCTAGTGGCCCACATAACTGATCCTCCCTCCTGCTAGTGGCCCACATAACTGATCCTCCCTCATGCTAGTGGCCCACATAACTGATCCTCCCTCATGCTAGTGGCCCACATAACTGATCCTCCCTCATGCTAGTGGCCCACATAACTGATCCTCCCTCATGCTAGTGGCCCACATAACTGATCCTCCCTCATGCTAGTGGCCCACATAACTGATCCTCTCATGCTAGTGCCCACATAACTGGATCCTCGTGGTTGTGGCCCATATAATGGTCAGACCTTGTCCCAGT